AAGGCAGTCATGAGAAGAACCGCAATTGCATACATGGCTAATGAAAATAAAAAGAAAAGACGATATCAAAAAAGCTTAGAGGAAGAACACAAAAAATTAGAAATAGAATTGCAAAAAAAACCAGTGTAGAGATTTAAAACGACAACTAGACTTAAACTAACGCAAATTGAGTATTTTAGAAAAAGAAAAATTGGCACAAAAAATAAAAAGTATCAGACAAAAATTTTTTGAACAGGCAAACAAACCTGGGAGATGGTTGGCTTATAGATTAAAAAAACAAAAAGATAAAAGATGGATTAGTAAATTATGCAATGAAGCAGGAGAGATGGTATACCAAACCGAGAAGAAAAAACATGTGACGTAGGAATTCTATAAAAACCTTTATAAAAATGACGTAAAGATTAGTGAAGCAAGAATAGTACAGTATCTTATGAATGCTGAACTGCCAAAGGTTCCAGAAAAATACCAAAATATATTAAATGAAGATATAACACTTCAGGAAATTATGGAAGCGATTAAAAAACAAAAAAGCAATGAAACACCAGGCCTTGATGGTCGGAAATATATAAAAACCTCAAGAACGTCTGGGCCCAACCTTATTGGATATAGTCAATGAAGTACTAGAAGTAGCAAAGACCCCAAATTCACAGAAAGAAGCAATCATTACACTAATACCTAAAGAAAATTCTGATTTAACTCTCATAAAAAACTATAGGCCCATTTCCTTATTAAATACGGATTATAAGATTTTTATAATAATAGCAGAAAGATTAAAAAGATACTTAGCTGAATTTATCCATATCAATCAAAACAGTTTTCTGCCCAAAAGGCAAATAAGATATGTCAGGATTATATTAGATACGCTAGAATATTATGAATCACACAATGAAAAACAAATGGCACTGATTTTTGTTGATGCGCAGAAAGCATTTGATAATGTTAGATGGGAATTTATGTTGACCCAACTTAAATATATGGAATTTGGGGAAAGATTCATAAACATGTTCCAAGCAATTTATTCTAAACAAGAAGCAAAAGTAATTATGAATGGAGAATTAACAAAAAGTTTTCAGATACAAAAAGGTACGAGACAAGGCTGCCCGCTATCAGCATTATTATTTGTATTTTCATTAGAAGTTTTAACAAGAATAATTTGAGAAGATAAACTGATTAAATGTTTAGAAACTAAGAAAGAGATATTCAAATTATAGGCATATACAGATGACCTAGTATTTATTTTGGAGGAACCTTTAGAGTCTGGTTTAAGATTATTACAGGTCCTGGAAAATTATGGAGATGTAGCGGGGCTGAAGATTAACAAAGAAAAAACGAAAATGTTAGTCAAGAATATGACCAAACCACAAGAGAACGAGCTAGCAAAAACAATTAACATTCAAATAGCTAAAAAAGTAAGATACTTAGGGATTCAATTGACAGCAAGATGCATCACACTCAAAAGAGAAAATTATGATAAATTAATAGATCAAATCTCTGTAGACTTAGACAAATGGAAAAACCTACAGCTTTCTTTTATGGGGAGAATTGCGACTATTAAAATGAATGTGCTACCCAAACTACTTTTCCTATTCCAATGTATACCGATTAAATTAGGCAAAAATTTCTTTGAAAATTTAAACAAAATTGTATCCAAATTTATTTGGCAAGGGAGGAAACCGAGAATTAAATTTAAGTTATTGCAGGATGCAAAAGAAAGAGGAGGATTCGGTCTCCCAAATTGGGAAAAATATTACCAGGCAGCAACACTTGCTTGGTTAAAGGAATGGATACATTTGAGGAATAGGAGACTGCTAGCACTAGAACAGTGGTTCTCAACCTTTTTAATGTCGCGACCCCCCAACCGGTCGTAAGTCGAGGACTACTCAACCAGTCATAAGTCGAGGATTACTCAACTGATGGAGCAGTTTGCAGAATGGGACTTTTGGTGGGCTCAGCAGGGCAGAGACAGCCTGGACAATTCCTATTGGCTTTTGAAAGCCAATAGAATTAGACTCTATTCAAGAGTCTATTCTATTGGCTTTCAAAAGCCAATAGAATAAAAGGGAGTAGCACAGCTAAGGAAAAGGGGAAAAAAATGGCGGACTGCGTTGTTTGGCGACCCGCGTGAAATGGTCGTTCGACCCCAAATGGGGTCCCGACCCACAGGTTGAGAACCACTGCACTAGAAGGTCATGACATGCAGACAAGGTGGCATGCAATACTGTACTATGGGCTGAGAAAAACAAAGCACACCAGTATTTCCAGAAACATAAGATTAGACGAGCACTACTAGATGTATGGATTAAAATTAAAAAATCTAATTACATGAAAATACCCAATTGGATTTCAACACTGGAGATTTTTTGCACCCAAAATTTATGAACCTGGGAAAGATAATTACATATAAAAACATTCTGGATGAGACTGGAGAATTGAAAACAAGAGGGGAACTATTAGAAGATGGCATAAAGTTGGAATGGTGGGCATACCTGCAAATACAAGCACGATATAGAAAAGATAAAAAGGAACCTGGGATTAAACTAGAATATACAGAACTAGACAAAATTCTGCTAGGAATTGATGACAAAATGATAAAAAAAAAATTACCAATATTTATTAGAACAAAGTATGCCAGCAGAACAGATGAAAGATACAGTGTTAATTTGGAATAAAAACTTCGGCTATAATATCGAGTTAGATTATTGGCAACTACTGTGGGACAGGAATAGATTAACATTAGCTACTACTTACAAAGAAAACTTATACAAGATGTTTTACAGGTGGCACCTCCCCCTAGCAAAAATAGACAAAAAATCTTCACCATTATGTTGGAAATGTAGGAAAATACCAGGGACTTACTATCATATGTGGTGGGAATGCTCAGAAGCTCGAAAATTTTGGCACTTGATAAAGAATTGGTTAGAAGAGTACTATCATTAAAAACTGAAGCAAAATCAGAACTATTTTTATTAGGAATCACTATGGATAAATTCAGCAAAGGAGCTTTATATTTAATTCTGCACATTTTAACTGCAGCAAGATTAACATATGCTCAAAATTGGAAAAGAAAAGAACCCCGCCCTGAAGAAGAAATACTAAACAAAATTCTATCCTGTGCGGAAATGGACAGACTGACATTAGAACTCAAAAATAAAACAGAAACAGAGTATTTTGAAATTTGGAATAAAGTGTATAATTGGTTGGATTTTAAGAGGTACGCTGGGACAAAGGCTGATGATTAAGTAGATAACCTAGAAATTCTTATTTTAATATTTGTTATATCAGATAGAACCAAAAGTTATTTAACTAGGATGTACTTTATTGAAAGAATGCACACTGTGTAACAATGTAATAACTTAATGTAAAGTAATATTAATAGTATCATTTAAACAGGGAAATTGTATCATGTCCAATGTGTCTTTTTTGTCTTTAATTGTATTATGTTGAATGTGTCTTTTGTGTTTTTTAATTGTATATTCAATAAAATACAGATTCAGCTTCTTCCAGTTACCCAAACAAATTTAATAAGCATCTGGATGAGAAACCCTTTGCTTCTCTCTGGATGAGCAATCAAACCAGCTGACTTCTATAATGCCCAAATTTGAAATTAACAGTAATGGATTCTGATGAAACAGGATTTTGTAATTAATTTCAAGCTATGATTTAAACTTGCCATTGGAATCCAGCTTACAGATAGTCCTCAACTTATGACCATTCAAAATTACAACAAGCCTCCCCAAGGCTACTTACAACCTGGCTTTAAAATTATGATAGGTGACCCTCATCACATGATCACATTTTGATGCTTGGCAACTGGCCTGTACTGATGGCTGTTTGCAGAGTCCCATGGTCATGTGAATGCAATTTATGATGCTTTTTGCCAGGAACCGACTTTTACTTCTGGTTTCCAGCAAAACAAAAACAAAAAAACCCTGCCCATTGCAGACAATGGATTCACTTTAGAACTGCTGCAAAAAAGTTCATAATGTTGAGTGCAGTCACATGATAACTCATTAAAAAACCTATTTTTCAATGTCGTAACAGCTGGTCCTCAACTTGACCACAATTGAGACCAGTTTCCATTGCTAAACAAGGCTGTTGTTAAATGAGTCATGCCCAATTTTACGACCTATTTCACCACAGTTAAGCAAATCACTGCAGTTTTTAAGTGAAGCATGCAGTCGTTAAGTGAATCCAGCTTCCCAGATTCGCTGAATGACTGCATGCTTCGCTTAAAACAGGGGCGTCAAATTGCCGGTCCATGGGCCAGATCCGTCATCCGGAAGCTGCGCCTATCCCATTGCCGGCAATGGCAAAGTCGGCCCGATACGTTGCACAATGTCATGTGACGGCGCGAGTTTGACACGCTTGGCTTAAAAGCTCAACTAATTATGACTGTCATATCAAACAAACAGGATTTAGTGGGGTGTATAAACTGGACCAGCAAAACATTTTTGCATTCACCCCTCTTTCAATTCACTGAATTGTACAGGTATTCGATTTATAGCCATTTATTTAGCGATCATTTCAAGTTACAACAGCACTGAAAAAAGTTGATCACAACCGGTCCTTGCATTATAGCATACCAAATCCCATGATTGAAATTGAAGTGCTTGGCAACTGGCATGTATTTACAATGGTTGCAGCATGCTGAGATCATGTGATCTCCATTTGTGACCTTCCCACCCAGCTTCTGACAAGCAAAGTCATAATTAGTTGAGTTTGCGTAACATGCCAATATGGTTTAAACACACAAACCATAGTTTGTTAGCAATTCGTGGACCTTCTATAGATTAAAACCTGTACAGGTTTTGAAAAATTATTTGCATGAAACTAAAAGCACTAAAATAAGCACTTTTGCACACACAATAATTATTCATATTCAGGCTGCTGATGGTTGATAAATTAACATGAACTATAATTTAATAGATGTCTCTTCCATCCAATATATATATTCTTAAAAATCAGTTTTATATGAATATAGAACTCTCAAATGCCATAAATGACAATACTATAAAACCAGTCATTTATTGTTTACACTTCTAAACAGTTTTGACTACACAGTAGTACCATTTTAGTGTTGGAAAACCAATTTTTTACATAGTTTTATCTGTTTAATTCCCCCACAATCTTATAATTTTACAGTGGAAAACTTCAGATGTAGCTTTGCAGAATTAATCTCAACATTTGACTGTGAAATCCCAATTTATTCAGAATTGTTGCCAAGATACTTAGAGTATGTTCAAAACCAGACAATCAAATCTGCCACCATTCTAGAATTTTAATATAAAGCACCATGTCTGTTAAATATAAAGGGGAGGATTAAAAAAAAGTTTTCAAGTTTCCTTTTTATTTGTAAAATAGCATTCTTTTCTTCTGCCCTAGCTGCTACTTAAAGCATCCCTTTTTTCTTCTTTCTCTTTCCTTAAGTTTCCAAGTATAATTCCTGCAAGAAGCAAAATCCCTAGATTGCGGTTTGAAGAAAACTTGTCCCAGCAGTCTTTAGGATTGTTAATGTCCAAATGGAATACCTGGAAAAGAGACCAAAATGATTACTCAATACTGCCCCTATTCAAATTTTAGAATCTGTCAGGTCTTCTAATCCTCTTTTATCTCAGATGACCATTAAAGCACTAGCTTTATTGGACAGCCATTGATCTGGGATGATATAAGGCAGTGATGGCGAACCTTTTAGAGACCAAGTGCCCAAAAACCGCCCCCGCCTCCCCGCCCACCCCCGCTGTGCCCCACCCACTCGCATAGCCACCCACCGCCTCCACAGCTCACCGCAGATTGCCCAGGCAGCCCAGCAGCGCCATGGCAGCCATGCCTTCCGCCCACGCCTCGCAGCATCATCTGCGTGTGACGGCGCAAGGGCAGAGTCTTGTCCGCACTGCCTGGCTGCCATGCCCTCGGCTGTGCTGCTCTGCACGGACTGCGCTGAGGGCAACTCTCCTCTGGGGGGGGGCTGCTGGTGAGGAGGAGGGGCCACGGGGCTGGGGCGATGGTGCATGTGCCCACAGAGAGGGCTCTGAGTGCCACCTCTGGCACGCGTGCCATGGGTTCGCCACCACTGATATAAGGACTCTTCCCTCAAGTAGGGGGTTGAACTAGAAGACCTCCGAAGTCCTTTCTAGCCTGTATGAGTCTATGGTTCTGTGAATTCCTTTTCCTCTTCCTTCAACTGGGCCTTTTGCTCTTGCCTCGACTATCCCTCCATTCCACTGTTGAACCTTGCACTGCAGCCTGGACATGCAGCACAAGCTTCTATTAACATTAAACTTATCTAACCTGGTTTCCCCAACAGACAGCTGCAGTTGCCAGGGCTGCATAGTACGGGAAGGTCTGACCACAATTGATTCCTGCCAGTGTTAGTCCACCCAGCATGGTGCAACTGAAGCCAGAGAGCCAATATTTTGTCTTTTCCCCAAAGAGGAGCGCTGTAGATTTCACACCGATGGCAAGATCATCTCTTTTATCCTAAAACAAAAAAGTTGTAAGGTTGTTAATAAAACAAAACCACCAACCACAAAGGCAGTTTAGCTTGAGGTGAGGAACAGCTGCAGAGCAGCCCAAAACATCACGTTGCTGACTTGCGGCCATGCAGGCTGTTTTGTGCGTCCTGGAAGTACCCCAAGCTCAAGAGGGCTTTATTTCTAGTGTAACACATGCTCTTACCAACAAAGGAGAATATTGGTAGCTCTGGGTTGAAATGAGGTGTCCTTGGTGCTCTCTGAGCTCACTTGTTGTCTTGCAGACGTTTCATTACCAAACTAGGTAACATCACCAGTGCTAGTCCTAGACTGATGTTACCTACAGTAGTGGCCAAAATTATGGAAACCTTTTGGGAAAAGTGTACAGTAGAAATGCGACCTTTGGTTAAGTTTCCACCCATTTTTCTTCTAATTTCTTTAGCTTTGTTCACTTAATAATACTATTTTACATCGCTTTCTGGGCAACTAGTCAACTCTTTGCACCATTCCTTTGATTTTATTACGTTTTACAAGCTCACTAAATGAAAGAACGCAAAAAAAAAAACCCAACAAACTTGATAGCGATTACGTAACACACTGACAAATGTCGTCCTCTCAGCTTCAAAACCTGACATCAATCCTACTGTGATCTGATTGGCTCACGGCCAAAACAAGATGACACCTGATTGGCTCTCTAAACACTCACGGTCGTTGGCTACAATCAGAGGAAGGAAAGCTACCCGATATCAACCTAAGGAAGTTGTGCTTCCTTTTTCTGGTTATTTGGCTATAGCTTTTCATAGAATACACTATAGATAATTGAACAAACTATGTTGCATTACATTCTTGAGTAATTATCTTTCCACTGATATATAATTTTATGGTACTACTCCAAAAAAAAGTAGTGTTATTAGCCATCAATCCTCAAATGTACACTTTTCCCAAAAGGTTTCCACAATTTTGGCCACTACAGTAGTTTGGGTAATGAAATGTCTGCAAGAAAACAACCCAACTCAAGAGAGTGCCAAGGACCGTTCACAAATACTCTTGCAATAATACCTCTGCAATATCAAAATGGGATTTTGGGTGCATTTTTGCATTCAGGACAAACAAAACATTTAGTGCACTTTTAGGCTTAAAGGTGAGAAGAAAATAAAATCAAAAGGGGATGCATAGCCTAAATAGCCTTATCTGTAATACTATTAGCCTTGAATACCAAGGCACCATTACTACATTTATTAATATTAAATAGTTCAGTTTATATTTATAATTGATTGCTTAGGAAATATTATTACACAAGAAGTCTTGCTTTCCAAATTTTTGTTCTTACTTTCTTTACCCCAAGGATGTGAGATCTGATATTTATGACCTCAACAGACAACTCAGCTATCCGCAGACAACACTATGAATCTTTTGTGGTATAGGCAAAACACAGAAAAGAACCAAGAAATTTGGCTTGTACTTCTGCTTTTCATCTCCTGTTTTTTGTTAAATATTATTTCTGGTCAAATATTGATCTTTAAGGGAGTTAATTCATCTTTTATTTATCATCATGAGATAAAGTATCACATAATAGTCTGTGTATATTATAAATATGTTTGGGCAGAGCTGAAGGTCATCACACTCTATCCAGACCCTTGCAGCCTCTAGGCACCAGGCCAGGGCATGTACAACATCATGCAGGCAGCCCGGGGTAGAGATATAAAGCTGGTATCATCAGCATATTGATGATACCTCATCTGAAAATCATTGCATCACTTGCCCAGCAGCTTCATGCAGATGTTAAACAGGACAGGAGAGAGAACTGACTCCTAGGTATCCCATAAAGAAGAGGCCATACGTTAGATCTCTCCCCACATCAACAGGAATCAGCCCCAAAGTTCATCCAATGTCCAGGTGGAGTCTTTGACTACCAGCGTAGCTCCTGGCATCGATGCCAACCGAAACAAACAAAAGCAGCTGCAAAGATGCATTGATTACCATCCAAATGCCGGTGTTTCCAGTTCAACGGGAACAAGATTGCCATAGCAACCTAATTTAGCTGCACTCTCTCATTTCAATATCTTTTATATTAACAAATGGGAAAGAGTCACCTGATGTGCATAAATAGTATCATAAAGCAAAGTCCAACAGACGCTGGAAAAATACAGGGGTAAGCAAACAGACCAATTGCAAGAACCGTGGACCGCAGACCAGCCAAGTAAGGCTCCCCAATTGAAGACCAAGCCTAAAGGAAATAAGGAAGATCAAATCATAATAATCTTTGGCTAACACACACACACACACAATCCGAGAAGCGGCAATACTTCTGAGTATTATATTTTGAGTACAGGTAATCCTCGTCTTATGACCACAATTGAGCCCCAAATGTATGCAGTTCAGTGAGACATTTGTTAAATGAGTTTGGCCCCATTTCGACCTTTCTTGCCACAGTCGCCAAGTGAATCACTTGTAGTCATTAAGTTAGTAACACGGTTGTTAAATGAATCTGGATTCCCCACTGACTTTGTTCGTCAGGAGGTTACAAAAGGGGATCACCTGACCCCGGGACACAGCAACCATCATAAATATGAGTCAGTTGCCAAGCGTCTGAATTTGGATCACATGATGCTGCAACGGTTGTGTGAAAAATGGTCATAAGTCATTTTTTTGAGTCCCGTTGTAATGTTGAATGGTTACTAAATGAACTGTTGTAACTCAAGGACTACCTATATACTGACAGCCAGTTTGGTCTAGGTCAGGGGTCTTCAAACTTGGCCCTTTTATGACTTGTGGACTTCAACTCCCAGAATTCCTCAGCGAGCCTCCATTTTGTTCGTTAGATTTAAGACAGGGATCTTCAAACTTGGCTCTTTTATGACTTGTGGACTTTAACTCCCAGAATTCCTCAGCCAGTATGCCTGGCTGAGGAATTCTGGGAGTTGAAGTCCACAAGTCATAAAAGGGCCAAGTTTGAAGACTCCTGGTCTAGTGATTAAGGCATCGGGCTAGAAAGCAAGAGACCATGAGTTCAAGTCCCGTTTTGGCCATGAAAGCCAGCCGAGTGACCCTTGAGCCAGTCAGTCTCTCTCAGTCCAACCCACCTTGTGGGATTGTTGTTGTGGAGAAAAAAGGAGGAGGAAGGTGTCTAGGTTCACTGCCTTGAGTTATTTGTAAAAACAATAAAGGCAAAATACAAATAAATAATAATAAAAATAAATAAATAGTTCTCTATTTTTGCTGCATCCACAGATAGCTCCCAGTGGTTTCGTTTAGGTGGCAGGGGTAGGCAACCTTGGCTCTTTTATGAGTCGTGGACTTCAACTCCCACAATTCCTGAGCCAGCCATGCTGAGGGGACAGAGACAGTTTCCAAGCTGAGCCATGCTGGCTTAGGAATTCTGGGAGTTGAAGTCCACAACTCATAAAAGACCCAAGGTTGCCTATCCCTGGTTTAGAGTGACTAGGTGAATAGGACTGAGATGTTCACCTATAAGGCCATGTGGTAAAATTTGCACAGCATCTGTCAGACAAAATTGTTTGAAATCATTCTCAGTTAGACAGCCTTGATACAGAGCAGGATGGCGATAGTGGGTAATGAGGCATCCTGGCTCAACACTATCTGGATCAGCTCTGTGGGATAGGAGTAGACGGCATTATATTGTGCTGGTTCTCTTCCTTTCTGAGAGGCTGATACCAGACGGGCTTGATTGGCAGTGAGAGATCCCACCCTCGGCCCCTACTGTGTGGGATCCGATAGGGTTCGATACTCGCTCCATTCCTGTTTAGCATCTACACGAAGCCATTGGGTGAGATCATCTGTTGCCATGAGGTATCAACGTGTTGACGATACTCAATTCTATATCTCTGCCTCATGACAGGGTGACATTTGTATAGGATGCTGGTCCCTTCTCCCATCATCTTATTTATACTTGTTTGGTTTTTTTTAACGGTTGTTTAGACTTCCTGTTTTATTGTACACTACCCAGAGTCACGTTTGTAAGATGGACGGCAATATAAATTTGATAAATAAATAAGTAAATAATTTTAGAGACACTGTGTCGAGCACCAGGTAAATCAGGAGATTCAGGCAAGTCAAATGTATACAAGGACTTATTGTAAACTTAAGCTCGCTACAAGAATCTGAACTACTATCAGCCAAGGGGATTTGGTGATAGAGAGTCAATGGAATTCAAGGTGGGCTGGACTCAGATCTCTTGTGGGCATGAAGAGACTCATGACTGATGACACGTTTGATCCCTCCCTCAGGCTCAGCCTGGTCATCTCCTACACACTGGGTTTAGCATAGCATGGTATTGGCTGGTGATGTCTGTGATTAGCTTCAGAAATTCCCATCTTCTATGTCAGAGGTCTCCAATCTTTTGGGCACCAGGGACCGGTTCTGTGGAGAGAGGTATTTCCAAGCACCTGAGAGTGCGTGGTTTTGTGTACTACCTGCATCCCACGGATGGGGCTTTGCTTGTTTGTGCAGACCGGTTTCTGGCATGCCACGGCCCAGTACTTAATGAAGAGAAAGACGCGGGGGGACACGATAGCAGTGTTCCAATATCTCAGCGGCTGCCACAAAGAAGAGGGAATCAAGCTATTTTCCAAAGTGCCTGAAGGCAGGACAAGACGCAACAGATGGGAACTGACCAAAGAGAGAAGCAACCTAGAACTAAGGAGAAACTTCCTGACAGTTAGAACAATTAACCAGTGGAACTATCTGCCTCCAGAAGCGGTGAATGTTCCAACACTGGAAGTTTTTAAGAAGAGACTGGACAGCCATTTGTCTGAAATGGTATAGGGTTTCCTGCCTGAGCAGGGGGTTGGACTAGATCAGGGGTAGGCAACCTTGGCTCTTTTATGACTCGTGGACTTCAACTCCCAGAATTCCTGAGCCAGCCATGCTGAGGGGAAAGGGAGAGTTCCCAAGCTGAGCCATGCTGGCTCAGGAATTCTGGGAGTTGAAGTCCACGAGTCATAAAAGAGCCAAGGTTGCCTACCTCTGGACTAGATGATCTCCAAGGTCCCTTCCAACTTTATTATTATTATTATTATTAGTCCACAGACCAGGGGTTGGGGACCCCTGTTCTATATTTCAAATCTAAAGAAGGTTTGATCCATAACATCAAGTGTAAAAGTCAACACTCCTCACAAATGAGGCTCAACTCGTAGCGATATATGGACACATTCATATCATTTTCTTTGGCAACAATATGGAAGAACTTCTTCCCATCCTTTTTTCTGGGATTTCTTTTTTTTAAAAAAAACTTCTAAATCTAACACAAATGAGGTAAAGTATGCATTCTCTACCAAGAGTTATGCTGGTGACAAATTTTAATATCCATTTCAGTCTTTTCATCTCATAATCACCCATCTTAATGCAAAAGTAGAGATGTGGATTTCAAACACAGGTAGTCCTCGACTTGTGATCGGTTGCTTAGCAACCTTTTGAAGGTACAACAGACCTCCCCAGGGCTACTTATAACTCAGATTCAAAATTCCAACAACCCCCCAAAACCCCATGGTCATGCGACTACATTTTGGATGTTCGACAAATGTTCCCGCAGCAATGTGAGCACAATTTCTAATGTTTTTTTTTTTTGTCAGAAACTAATGTTTTGCTTTCATTTCTAGCAAACAATGCCCATTGAGGACAATAGTTTCATTTTAACTATGGCGATTCCCTTAATGACCACTGCAAAAAGGATCATGAAATGAGCCTGGTCACGTGGTAGACCACTTAATGCCTGGCATGACTTACGACTGTAATCCCAGGCTCAATTACGGCGATACGTTGAGGACTATCTGTACATCAATAAGATTAGGCGATTGCTTATTCAATATTTTTTAGCCAAGAAGCAGAGTTTTCCATTTTTCAAGCACTCCTGGGTGTATAATTAATGAAGTATTAAGAATATACATTAGGCTGCAATTTTATGCAAGGGCGCATTATTTTCTTCCATCCTATGAGTCAGTCCAACTTAATGTGTCAGTCCAACTTAATGAGGAAGTAATTTCCAATAGACAAAATACAATACTGACTCTCCCATCCTTTTCCCGTCAGGAAATTTCTTCTTAGCTCTACGTTGCTTCTGTATGTGATAGCTGCTCATGCAGATGCAGCAAGGCGCAGCTATAGATGCAGCTGCCTAAATTATGTGAGGACACCTTGCCTTACCGCTTCAAAAAGACATCTCATTCATGCAAATGCTCTCTGCAAGACATATCCTGTGACTACATGGCACAGCCTACTGTTTTTATTTATTTACTTATTAGATTTTTATCCCACCTTTATTCTTCTTTATAAATAAATGTCAGTGAACAGACACGGTACTTTTTTCTCTTCTTAGCTTCACTTATCGAGAGAGAGAGAGAGAGAGAGAGAGAGAGAGAGAGAGAGAGAGAGAGAGGAAGGGAAAGGGGGAGGGAGAGAGAGAGAATGAGAGGGAGAGAGAGAGAAAGAGAGAGAGAATGAGAGAGAGGGAGGGAAAGGGGGAGGGAGAGAGAGAGAATGAGAGGGAGAGAGAGAGGGAGAGAGAGAGAAAGAGAGAGAATGAGAGAGAGGGAAAGGGGGAGGGAGAGAGAGAGAATGAGAGGGAGAGGGAGGGAGGGAGGGAGGGAGGGAGAGAGAGAGAGAGAGAGAGAGAAACTAGAACTCACTGTCTCCTAGTGATTGGCCCAAAATGAGTCAGTTAGTTTTCATGCTTATAGCGGAACTAGAACTCACTGTGTCCTGGCTTTAAGCTGGTGCTTTAACCACTTTATATTATAGCATAAAAATGTTTTGGAAGTAGCCAATAGTCCAAGAATAAAACTTTTTAATTCTTATGTAGCCTTTGGGGAGGAAAGAATGACAAATCACTTCTCATGTTAATTCAATTCATGCAAATTTGTGTTCTGAGCTGCATACAGTGGTGTTTTAAGACAGGTGGTCATTCAAATCAAATCAATAGTTTCTGAGCAAACACTCAAAATTCAGTAAGAATGTATGGATGGAAATATGGATACTTTCTGAGCAAACCACCTTAAGTCAGTATATCCCAGTCACATAAAATGGAAATTGCTGAACTTACCTAAATATAACTGTGGCCAGTAAGTTATTCTCTTCATAAGTGGATAAGTCACCACAAGAAATAAAGAAGAAGCTCCTAAAATAATGCTGTGAAAAATTGGAAATTTTAAATTAAAAATATACTGCTTTCTTCCAATACAATATTTCCTGTCTTACTGTAGTATAGCCTATAAGACAGGGGTCTTCAAACTTGGCCCTTTTATGACTTGTGGACTTCAACTCCCAGAATTCCTCAGCCAGCGTGCCTGGCTGAGGAATTCTGGGAGTTCAAGTCCACAAGTCATAAGAGATAGGAGAAAAGGACATATTTTGCAACAAATATGGAAGCAGGAAAGGTATTAAGCACCCTTCACAGACACCTCCTTGGGCAGAGCCATCAATGTGAAATCTCTGCTCATTCATTCATTCATGAAGACCATGGTGTCACCTTGAGACATCCTGGAGTTCTCTAACATGGTACTAAGATGGTAAATAAATTTTTGTGAATAGAACTAACTTTCTTAAACTGGAACAGCACATAAACAAACCACTTACTAAAATATGAAACTTACACATTTATTTACAGACTTATTTCTATCAATCCTATGAATAGATTGCTCACATTTAGCTTTTTTGCTGACCATTCAATAGAAACATTTTTCTTCTACTTTACGTCTTTACTCAGTGCATATATTGCCATATGCCCAAAGGACTCCTGAGAGTTGACAATGTAACAGATCGTATCAAGCAGGGAAATTAAAATAAGTTAATGTCAGCCTCTCTAGGTAGACCAGACAGAAATCAGGCCAGATGAATTACTTGTATTGTATGATGGCGCAGTGGTTAGAATGAAGTATTACAAGCTAATTCTGCCAACTGCCAGGGGTTCGATCCTCACTCGCTCAAGGTTGACTCAGCCTTCCATCTTTCCGGGGTCGGCAAAATGAGGATTCAGATTGTTGAGGGCAATAGGCTGACTCTGTAAACTGCTTAGAGAGGGCTGTAAAGCACTATGAAGCGGTATATAAGTCTAAGTGCTATTGCTACTTCAACAAAATCTTATAAGTCTGAAAGTACAAATCTCCCACTGTTTCCTTTACAATCTGAGAGGTTAGGAAGGGACTCTTCTGAGATTCTTTCGCTGTCTATAATGCAGCTATGGGCTGTACCTTCTCGTATCTGATTGTTCCCTACGCAACATCGCTTCCCCTCTTTTTTCAAGGTCTTTCTCACATACCATTATAGTAAAAGAATAAAACATGGGAGAAACTATACAGTAAACTAACAAAGATAAAAGCAAAATGGAGGTGGCTATCCATTGAACACTGCCTAGAACAGGGGTAGACAACCTTGGCTCTTTTATGACTCGTGGACTTCAATTTCCAGAATTCCTGAGCCAGGAATTCTGGGAGTTGAAGTCCACGAGTCATAAAAGAGCCAAGGTTGCCTACCCTGGCCTAGAAGTACTAACTTCTAGAAGACTACTGAAGAAGAGGTCAATTTATAGATCTCGAATATCTGGTGGCCTACAGAGATTCTTTATCTAGCCTGCAACAGCTCACTAATACAGGTAGTCCTTGACTTATTCATTTAGTGACTCAAAGTTACAATGGCACTGAAACAAGTGACATGACCATTTTTCACACTTACGACTATTGCAGCATCCCCATGGTCATGTGATCAAAATCTGGATGCTTGGCAATTGGTTCATATTTATGATGGTTGAAGGTCCCAGGGTCATGTGATTACCTTTTGACAAGCAGAGTCAATGGGGAAGTCAGATTCACTTAACAACCGTGTTACTAATTTTAACACAACTGCAGGGATTTGCTTAACAGCCTTGGCAAGAAAGGTCATAAAATGTGGCAAAATTCACTTACCAACTATCTTGTTTAGCAATGGAAATGCTGGGCTCAATTGTTGAACGTAAATCAAGGATTACCTGTATTAACAAGATGCTGCTGTAAGATGCTGCTGGGGCAGTTCTGCAATCCAGAAAGATGCCACAATTGATGGCATCTGTTGTGAATATATTTTGCTTTCTAGCTGATAGAACTCAAATATCCCCTTGTGCTGACTCAAAATCTACATTCTCATGAGTAGTGCTGACTTTCCGTCAAACAGAAACAGAGATAGCCCAACCTTTTCCAAAAAAAAAAAAAAAAAATTAAAAAATTAAGAAGGCCCCTATAGTCATCAATGGCCTCTGCAATCAACTCTTTATAATTAACTTACCTGTAATAATTTAAACATAGCAAGACACACAAAGCCAAGCTAAGCTGTGAACCAAGAAAAACCAGGGCTTGAAAATATGTTAGCTCTCCAGCTGCCAACGGCCGATTTGCAGTTCTCACTACCTAAAATGAAAATAATTATTTCAGAGGCTGCATTCCATCACTGACCATGCACATATACCAGTTATAAGATCAATTCATTCTATAGCTCATGCATACAGTACATGCTCTCCTATAAAACCCATCTGCAGATAAATCAGCTTTCAAATTTTTAACTAAAATACTGTGAAAAATATGCCACCTGCAGATAAGTTGACTCTTGAAAATGTGTATGTTTTCATTTTCAGAACTGGCTTATACTTACACATTTTTCATGGTATTTTGGTTAAAAATTCAAGGGTTGGCTTATCTGTGGTTATATTTGTATACTAGCAAATATGGTATGTGGATTTAAATACTTTAAAAAAGTATTATTGTATAGACTTGCAGATAAGCCAAACCCAATTTTTGGTGTACATTTTGGCAGCTAGCATTATAGGGTCCTTCGTATTTACAGTAATGTTTTTTTCTTTCTGGCTTTTGAGTGTATGGTATTCTCTCTCCTCAGGAAGTGGACTATTTAAATATTTTAAACTAGGATATTTAAAACCATGTTTAGCTGAGCAATCCTACAGTGATGTGATTTGTGTATAATACAAGGTATGCTTACACATCATATAATCCAAAGCACACAAAGAACATTATGGCATTGTATTGTGAGTAAATGGTTAAAATATGTTTTTGCAAAACATCATATTATATGGATCAAGCTTCTGTTTTCATCTTTACCTTTTTCACTCTATGCAGTTATTGGAAATAATCCAAATATATGTTGTTATTTCAAAAAAGCTACAACTTGTGTGATGCCCAAACCCAGAGAAAATAATAAATCATGGTTTTTGAACCTTGGTTGTTTTCACCGAAGTTAAGTTGAACCAATATGATAGAAGAATATTGTGTCTTTATAATATATCTTTCTAACTCACATCGCTTAAACTTCAAATATGTTTTTAGATGACTTCAGGAGAACTATGTAAGCTTTATTTAACTATGGTTTATTGAATAAACCACAAGAAACCATAGTTAAATAAACTAATATAGTTTCTCCTGAAGACAATAACTATCAGAAGTGAAATAAACAAATTATCTATTGAGTCAGGATGATTATAGGTGTCCAGAAATACAGACATGCTAATTGCTTGGAAACCCAGAGTGCAAGAACACTTAAGACTGTTTGTGAATTTCCACCCAGGACTATTATCTTTTCCAAGAACAGGATGCTGGAAATTTGATCTGGCATGGACACTTTAGATCAGAGTTGTTTCTTCACTCTAGATATTTAATGGTTGGGAGAAAGTGATAAAATAAGAGACCTAAGATTGCATTTGCAAGATTTTTTTAGCTGTATCATATATTTCAAAATGAATCTTTAAAGACAAGGATTCAGGGCTGGAGTAAATCAATGTAAAGATGTTGGAGAGATGTTAAATTCTGAGAATTTTTTTGTTTAGCAAGTTTAACGATACTGTATAGACCAGGGGTAGGCAACCTTGGCTCTTTTATGAGGAATTCTGGGAGTTGAAGTCCACGAGTCATAAAGGAGCCAAGGTTGCCTACCCCTGGTAGACACTTACAAATAGAGCTGTAGCTGGCATTGGAAGGTTATTCAAGGGAAACATATAAAGCCTCTGATGTGACTATAGATACTTCAATTTATTTACATCCTGCCTTTATTATTTTTACAAATACCAGTAGCGCAAGATGACGAACATAACCAACAAACCTCTTCCTCTTGTTTTGCCTACAACAACTCTTGTGAGGAAGGTTGGATTGAGTTAAAAAGTGAATGGTCCAAAGTCAGCTGGCTTTCATGATTAAGGTGGGGCTAGAACTCACAGTCTCCTGGTGATTGGCACAAAGCCACCCAACCAGCTTTCATGCTTAAGGCAGGACTAAAATTCACAGTCTCCTCATGACTGGCTCAAAGTCACTTAGTTGGTGGGAGTTGAACCCCAAAATCTCCCACTTTATAACCTAGTGCCTTAGCTATTAGACTTTACCTCTCTGAGAATTTCTAGAGAGGGAAAGAGGGAGGAAGAACAGGAACTTACTTACTCTATAATGATCATTTACTTAGCAAATAGGATGAGCTCTGAATCTTTTCTACCTTTTTATCATAGTCCACGTCCCACATGTCATTTATAATGCAGCCAGCTCCACGCATCAGAACTGACCCAGCACCAAAAAGTAACAGCAGATCCCAGGATGGCCAACAACCTGGTTCAGCTGCCAAGGATATACTCCAGGTACAGGGAAGATACAGCAGCCAAATCCCTGAAAATAAAAAGTCAGACAAGGAACAGAGAAGGAGAGATGCAGAATTTATACCGATGCATGCAAATAATCAGCTCCTTAGTTTAAGTCTTAAGCTAGTTTAATTCTTCAATATTCTTTTCACCTATTTTTTTTAAAAATTGGCATTTTTCCTATGGAGAAAAACGTTATACCAATCTCACTGTGAAACACAATAGAGTGGATGCTTCATTTGAGAAGACTAACATACGTAAAGAGAAAAGTGTCAGCAGGTCCAGAAAAATTGTTCAGGATTTATCAGCCTTTTAGTTCCACAATAACAGTATTTATGAGAGCATTTTACTCCCTCTGGAGGCCAAATTAAGTCATACAACTTCAGTAACAGGCCTACAATAAATATAATCTCCAGACAAATGAAAGAAATACGAGAACAAAACACTGAGAAAGAGATATTTTCAGTATCAAAAGCTTCATCTGTCCAGGTGCAACTGGAGATTAAAGCTTCCTTACTTGATGTGGTTACATTTTCAAAAATATTTCATAATTATGCATTAGGGACATACCGCAAGCATTAGAAAAATGAAATAAAATCATCACAGAAAACTATTTTCTGTCACATTTCTATTGTTTCCAGGCTTTCTCAGAGTAATAGCACACTTCTGAGCTTTAGAGTCTCCGAAAGTTTAAGAACAAACCTGCATTTCTTTTGGTTTAATTATTTTAAACTGAGGGTAGTGCCCTAAAGCTGTTTTTCGATGTGAGGTTCAGCCATTGCTATTAATACTGAGGGATTATGGAACTACATATAGCCCTCAATTGATGCCTGCTTGCTTAGCAACCATTCAAAGTTATGATGCCCCCCCCCCCACAAAAGCTACTTTTGATCTGGACTTGAAATTCTGATTGCCTCCCTTCCCCTCCCCACAGTCACATAACTGTATTTTGACCACTCAGCAACCTGCCCACGTTTATGGCCGCTTGTATGAGAGGGACACAGAAGAAAGGATTAATATAAAAAATCTCACTTATTAGCAAGAGTTGAGTGCGGCTTTCTTTTTTTCTACCTTTTTTCTTTAATTTTTTTGTACTTTTATTTTTAATTTTCTTTATTTTTATTGTCTGGAAAAATTCTAATATTTTTTTTAAAAAAATAAACTACCCTGGGTTCATGCGATATACAGGTAGTCCTCAATTTACAACCACAACTGAGCCCCAAATTTCTGTCACTAAACAAGGCAGTTGTCCGAGCATTTTGACCCATTTTACAATCTCTTTTTTGGCCACAGTTCTTAAATGAATCCCAGTCATCGTTCAGTGGATCGTGTGGTCATTAAGCGAATCTGGCTTCCCCCACTGACTTGCTTGTTGGAAGATGGCTGGGTAGATTACAAATGGGGATCACATCCCAGGACAGTGCGACCACCATAAATAAATGCCAGCTGCCAAGTGACTTGAATTTTGATCACCTGACCATGGGGAGGCTGCAACAATTTGTTAAGTGTGAAAACCGGTTGCGTCACTTTTTTCAGTGCTATTGTGATTTTGAACACTCACTAAACCAGTGGTTCTCAACCTTTCTAATGCCGCGACCCCATAATACAGTTCCCCATGTCATGGTGACCCCCAACCACTTATACATCACCAGGTGCCAGGGGCGTGGCCAAAGAAAAGGGGGAAAAAATGGCGGACAGCCTTGTTTGGGGACCCCCATGAAATGGTCCTTCGACCCCAAATGGGGTCCCGACCCACAGGTTGAGAACCACTGCACTAAACGAATGGTTGTAAATCAAGGACTACCTCTGCTGTCTTAAACCCCAAGTAAATCCGCATTTGGTTCCTATTTGGGCTGTGCAGGAGATAGGAAATCATCGGTGGTGGGACCGGGGTTGCCACAAAGAAGAGGGAGTCAAGCTATTCTCCAAAGTGCCTGAAGGCAGGACAAGAAGCAATTAGGATGGAAACTCATCAAGGAGAGAAGCAACCTAGAACTGAGGAGGAATTTCCTAACTGAGAAATTTCATTTTAATGTATGCCAATTAGTGTACATTCAAAGTGACAGTAAAATTATTCTATTCTATTCTATTCTATTCTATTCTGTATTCTATTCTGTTCTGTTCTGTTCCAATTAATCAGTGGAACGACTTGCCTCCAGAAGTTGCGAATGCTCCAACACTGGAAGTTTTTAAGAAGAGATTGGACAACCATTTGTCTGGAATGGTAGGCCCTATACCAGGTCTCCTGCCTGAGTGGGGGTTGGACTAGAAGACTCCAAGGTCCCTTCCAATTATTATTATTATTACTTATTATTGTTGTTGTTGTTAGCGACTAAACCCCCAATCTAATCCGGTTTACTCTAAATTCACTCAAGCGGCTTCCTTTTATTCCCGTTCTCATTCTCAAAGAAAAAGAGGCGGGATGCTTCGCTCCACCCCGCAGGCAAACTCACCAATGGGTTTATCCAGCCGCATGAGACGGAGGTAAGGCTGGAGCCAGAGCGGAGCCGTTTGCACCAAAGCCGCCGAGGAAAGCGTCCTGGCCAGGATGCTCCTTGATCCCGGCGGACGCGGCGGCTCCCAGCTCGAAGTGGGGCCCGACACGGTCCGGAGCGCAGCCCCGGGGCAAAGCACCCCCGCCCCTCCCGGGCCGGGAAAGGGGGCTTTGAAGTAGCAAAGCGGCTGGGCTGCCCGGCGGATAAGACGCGCCAGCCCCATGGCGGGCCCGGATTTCCCCCCCTGCCATGACGTCACCGGGGGGGTTGTTTCCTCCTCCGAGAGCCAATCGCAAGCGTAGGTTCGTGATCCTAGGACCTGTCCTAGAGGGCCGAGAAGAAAGGCGCTCCCTTGAGCTCCGGCTCCGCGCCGCCTTCGTCTTCTTCTGCGCTGAGGTAGTTTGCCGCAAATGGGTTCTCCGGTTTGCGAGGAGGATGAGAAGCGAGGTGGAGGGAATGTGCCGAAAGGAAAGATAGGAGAAGGTGCTTTTTCTCCAGGCAACCGGACTGTCTTGTTCTTTTTTTTTTAAATCTCTTTGAAGACGTTTCGCTTCTCATCCAAGAAGCTTCATCAGCTCTGACTGGATGGTTCCTGCCCTTCCCGACCATCCAGTCAGAGCTTCTTGGATGAAAAGCGAAACGTCTTCAAAGAGAAAAAAACAAAGTCCGGTTGCCTCATGAAAAAGCACCTTTGGGACCACCATGACCTGGATCAGGGATAGTCAACTTTGGCTCTTTTATGACTCGTGGACTTCAACTCCCAGAATTCCTGAGCCAGCTAAGCTGGCTCAGGAATTCTGGGAATTGAAGTCCACGAGTCATAAAAGAGCCAAGGTTGACTACCCCTGACCTGGATGACTGAGAATCTCCATAGACGTAGAGGAGAGTGAGCATGTCTAAGCCTTTCTTCTGCAAAACTGGGGAAATGCAGCAAAACGGGCTTGGGGTTTCAGCGAGTCTTCTGTACCTGTTGAAATACGTGACGCCTGTTGCAAGGGATTTGCACAAGGCTTCTGTTTCTCAACCTTGGCTCATTTAATTGATCAGAATAGAGCTAGAAGGGACCTTGGAGGTCTTCTAGTCCAACCCCCTGCTCAAGCAGGAGACCCTATACCATTTCAGACAGGTGGCCGTCCAATCTCTTCTTAAAAACCTCCAGTGATGAAGCACCCACAAACTCTGAAGGCAAAGCTGTTCCACTGGTTAATCGTCCTCACCATTGGGAAGTTTATCCTTAATTCCAGGTTGCTTCACTCCTTGATTAGTGTCCATCCCTTGTTTCTTGTCTTGCCTTCTGGTGCTTTGGAAAATAAGTTGACCCCCTCCTCTTTGTGGCAACCTCTCAAATACTAAAATACTGCTATCATGTTACCCCTAGTCCTTCTTTTCTCTAAACTGGCGAGATAACCAATTCCTGCAACTCTCTCTATATTTTTGTCTCCATTGCCTTACTCATCTTAATTTCTCTTCTTCGCGCTTCCCCCCCCCCAAGTCTCAATATATGTTTTTGTAATGGGGTGAGCAAAACTGGATGCAGTATTCCAGTTGTGGTCTTATTAAGGATTTATAAAGTGGTACTAATACATCACGTGATTTTGATTCTATGCCTTTTTTATAGAACCAAGGATTTAAGATGGGTGGATGGCTGGGGGACTCTGGGAGTTGAAGTATGCTCATCTTAAAGGTGCCGGGGTTGAGAAACATTGCACTAAGCTTCTGCAAAATCCCTTTGCTTTAGGACCGTGATGGTGAACCTATGGCACGCGTGCCAGAGGCGGCACTCGGAGCCCTCTCTGTGGGCACGCGCACCATTGCCTCAGTCCTAGGCCTTCAGCTGGGTTTTATAAAAACTTTTTGCTTTAGGCCTCCGCCATGTACAAAAAAAAAGGTTCAGTCAATTTCAACTTCTCAAGGGAAAAAAAGATCTTGCAAAGTTGGAATTGATTGAACTTTTTAGTCCCACCCAGTCTGCTGTTACCACTGCAGCCACACCCAGCCAATGGGCCACACCCAGCCAATGGGCCACACCCACCTGGCAACCAACAATACATAAGTGGGTTTTGGGTTGCAGTTTGGGCACTTGGTCTCTAAAAGGTTCGCCATCACTGCTTTAAGATGCTGGTCAAGTTATGTATTTATTTTGGTTTTTTATTTTAATGATATTGAGTCTTCTATAGCAATAATAAAGTAAAATATAAAAAACCCTTACTATGACAATTTCTTGTGATTATTTCTTATGAATTAGTTATGAAACCAATGGTGAAGTCTTAAATGTTTAAACATATTGCCGTCCCCTTTCTGTTAAGTTTCATAGTGAATTAGTGCTAAGAAAATTGTTCTTAAGCCTAATTCACCATAGGCTGTTCAGCTTCCTAGCTTTGCCCGACACAAGTCTTGCTCTGTAAATAATGTGAGGTGGTTCAGCTGTGAATGATAAAACAGATGAAGTTTGATATCAAAATTGAATACCGTATATGCCGGCGTATTAAGCAATCCGGCGTATAAGACGACCCCCGTCTTTGTCGCCAAGCTGCATTCCTAGAACGTCGTCTTATACGCCGGAAACTACCAGTATTTCTGGTGTATAAGATGACCCCTGTCTTTGGTGCCGAGTTTAGCGCTTCCGGAAGTCGTCTTATACGCCGGCATATACGGTACATGATTTTATATATTTAACTTTGTGGGGAGAGGAAGGCTGCATCATGACAAGGGGTGAGATTCGCACCACTTCGGCAGAACTGGTAGCTAATTTTTTTGTTGCCCAAGTCCAGAATGGACTTCCAGAAGCGGCATCCACACAGAGAACCGGTTGTTCATATACTGTATTTGAATTCCACCACTGATCATGACGATATGCTGTTCAGGAATGTTTAAAGAGGCATCTTTGGGCCAATGTTCAAAGGATATGTACAGTAGGTATTCTTGGAATATGGTCCAGATAATGCTTACTATCAAAGAGCAAAATGTCATTTTGGCAACACATGGAAACCAGTGTTATTTCTCAAATAAAAATAAAGGATATTTTATATTTCTACCAGATGTTGTTCATTGAGGAGCTTAATAAAAGTTTTTTGTTGTTGTTGTTGTTGTTGTTCCTGCGGTGTTGTCTTCTTCCCCCATCTACTTTTAAGCTTTGTTTCTTTGCTCAGCAAACAACTAAGAAATGCACATGTATCAATATAAAAATTTATTGCAAAATGTACAAATAATCCAGATCAAATAATAGCACACATCAAATGAAAATAAATATATTTTTATACAAACGTCTAGAAACACTTGAGAGGGCCAGATCAGCCCTCTAGTCTATCGTCCTCAGCACGGTGTCCCCCAATAAGCCAGAAGTGTCTAGAGTTGTAAAAAACATGCATTTTCTCAGCATTACACAGAGAAGCCAGAGACTGAATCCAGAACCGTTGGAGTACAAGACCCCATGTTCTGATCAACAAGGCAATATCTGGTTTGCACAGCTAGCATGGTAACAAATGAAATGTACCATACTTCAAGGTCTTTGTATTCAAAATAAATGAAAAGCACCCATGGCTGAAAGAATTCACCCTGAGAAATTACTCTTCTTGGTTTCCTTGCCTTTAATCCAAGGACCTGAGATTAGAATCTGATTGTCACATTCGAAAACAGCTTGATCACAGATATATATGCTTTCTGGTAGTCTTCAGTGGATTTTCTTAAACATTGACTGGCCTGTTCTATTATTCATTCCCAGCAGTTCTATAATCTACACCTTTGCCATCCATTTTCCTTGTTTGATACCAGAGTCTTCGTTCCTCAGGTAGCATCCGAGGAAATAAAGTGCTTTGTACCCCTTTTTAGAATTCAAAGAAAGGCTTGAAATGGCAGTAGAGCATGAAGCAAGCGATATGCCCTTTATTCCTTCTAGTTTTCTGCCACTAAAATACCTGGAGAGAGACTGTGACAAACTTTATTTTACCTGGAATAAAGATGAGGGCAAATACAAACCAAGCTAATTTATCATTTGCAAATTAGAAGACTTGCAGGAGTTTTCCAAATGTGGTGATGCAGTCCCTTGACTTTAAAAAAAAAAGAAAAAAGCAGGGGAAATTGCCCACAAGAAAATATAGACTTTTCATTTTTACAAAACGTTTATGAATTTTTGAATGGATTTTTTTTTTAAATTAAAAAGTTTTACTAACTTGTACAGAGGGGAAAAATGAACATGTGTTTGGGGGGGAAATACAAATGTTATTAAAACATTTCATCTTTCTCTGGGCTGAAGTAGTCAATCTCAATAAAACCTTTGTCTTCCAGGTTTACAAAATGTGTATTAACTTACTAAATGCAAGCCAATACTTTGGCATTTCTTATTACATAAAATCCATATGAGAAAGCTGGGAGGTCAAGGCTGTGCCCAGGAATAAGAGGATTTTCTTGCAAAATTGGTAGCGTTTCATCATTGGGCATTTTGAGGAGAAAGCCGTTCAACTGAACAGACCTGCAAGAGGAAAGAGTTGTATTATAAATTCACATTTAAACTCCCCAAAAAACTGTAAACAGTGAAAGCCATTTTGGTTAGTCTTCTATCTAGGCCAGTCTTTCTCAGACTTGGCAACTTTAAGATGTGTGGACTTCAACTCCCAGAATTCCCTAACCAGCGTGCTGGTAAATTGGTCTGGGACTTTCAGTCACAAAATCTACAATTCCACTGTGTTTGTGACAAGAGATCTGTAGGACTGGGAAAGAAATAGAAGCATGTCTAAATTCCATTTGCTACTAGTAAGGTGATATTTCAATATCTTGTTTGAAAAAAGGATGGTTCACCTTCAGTTTCTCATTGTGAGGAAAATGAGATTCACGCTGTTCACAGACAGCCTGTCTTAATAATAAGTGTTATCATTTGGGTTTATTCAGTATCCAATATTCTAATCTTCTTGACACTGAACCTAATTAATAAAGTTTGTTGTGAATCCTTCTTTCTGAATTATTTTCTGCAATTAGGGGATTGTCATTAACATAAAAAGAAAAAAAAACGCAGCTAAATTTAAGATGAACAATGCCAAAAGGAAAAAATAGGAAAAAAATCTTTACTGATTGCTTAATGAAACAAAGCTAGCTCATTTTAAATTGTTTAGGGAATAAACTAATCTTTCTTTCAGAAAAACACTGTAAGATAGTCCTTGAGTTACGACAAGAATTAAGCCCAAAATTTCCAGTATGTTTTGCCTCATTTTTAAAACCTTTTTGCTACAGTCATTAAGTAAATTATACAGTCATTAAGTGAATCTGGGCTTCTCCCATTGAATTTGCTTGTCAGATGTCAGCTGGGAAGGTTACAAATGGTGATTACATGTTCCCAGGATATTGTAACTGTCATAAATACATATCCATTGCCAAGGGTCTGAATTTTGATCACGTGATCATTGGTCGTAAGTGTGAAAAACAGTCATAAGTCACTTTTTTCTGTGCTGTTGGAACTTCAAATCCTCACTAAATGAATGGTTATAAGTCGAGGACTACCTGTATATACAACTTGCTAGGAATAAATCCCTTTGTATTTCTTAGACTTATATATAGAACTGCAGTGTTACTTATTTTCAAATCTTGATACACATAGACTTCATGGAGGATTGTAAACTTTTTAAGATTTTTTTTAACCCAATGTATTTCCCCCCCCCCCCCAACCGCTGTTTAGAATGAGGTGGCAAGATGAACTACTCACCGGGAAAGTAAATCGTCTTCTCTGTAAGGTAGCAAAAGATACTCATCTATTTGCTTCTTAGAAAAGTAACTTGGTACGTAAAGGCGCTTGGGGCTGTTGTAGAGATTTAAGGCAAATAAAGTGATGTCACCTTCTCTGTACTTCGGGCTGGAATGACAAAACCAAGAGGTTGTTAATAGTGGTCATAGGGTGAAAGCAGATTGCAATATAGCAGTGTTTCTCTACCTTAGCAATCTTTTAAGATGTTTGGACTACAATTCCGAAAATTCCCCCAGCCAGTATGCATGCTGCAGAATTCCCAGAAGCATTCTGGGAATTGAAGTCTACACATCTTAACTTTGCTAAAGCTGAGTTACATTCCTGCACTACAGGAATGCTGGATTTATGCTGTGTCTCAAGGGAAGCTAAGTCATTGATGGGTTGAATGGGGATTTTTCCAAAGAGTCTGTATTTAGCCCAGGAACTGGATATTCCCTTAGTATACCCATAGTAAAATTGGTGTCGTTCCCAGTGACTTCCAGGGAATTCTGCGCAGCAAAGTAAGCAACCAGAATTTGAAATGTAAACAAGAAAGGGCATAATTTGGCATTCATTCATTGGAACCTGGCAGGCATAGTGTGAAACACCCAGCCTGATCTTTTCTTACGTTAGTACTTTTTGCTGGGATACAATCAATCAATAAATCTCCTATATTGGGGATGGGTGTTCTTTTGGTGGTGGTGGGCACACTACTTGGGGGAAGAGATAAGGGTGCAGGATGGGCAGAATGAAGATGCAAAGTGGGTAGGGTTGGCTAGGATTTTCTGAGTTATGCAACAATTGTCACACTTTCAGCTTTTAATGTTTCAGGACATCGCATCCCTGACTTTCAGCAATGACACCCATGAAATTCAATGGTATACTCAGAAGGGGGTTCCCTGCCTGGAAAAGCAATCTTCCACCCCAACCCCACGCCCCTAAACGAAAGACCACAGGTGGACTGAGTGAAAACGTGACACTGGGAAGCAACAGGGTTGGGAACTGGCCAATCTCTGCCCAGTGAGCAGAACTACTCAACCTTCATTCACCCGGAACTGAAGAGGAAAACAATGTGAAGTCTGCTTTGTGTACCCACACAAAACAATTGGTGTTTCATCACTGGCCATGTCTTTGTGCAGAACAGAACAAAATGGTTAGGCCTCTGATAAGCATCTGCGCAGTCAGAGCTTTCCTTTTCGTTCTTCAGTGGGGCACTTTCATTCTGGATCCCCTTTACCCTCTTCTGATTTGTGCATATTTCAGGGCCTCGGTGTATTGTCCTCAGTGGGAACAGCAGGCTAGGCCAGGGATAGGCAACCTTAGCTCTTTTATGACTCGTGGATTTCAACTCCCAGAATTCCTGAGCCAGCATGGCTCATCTTGGAAACCTCTCCTTTTCCCCTCAGCATGGCTGGCTCAGGAATTCTGGGAGTTGAAGTCCATGAGTCATAAAAGAGCCAAGGTTGCCTACCCCTGGGCTAGGCCATAGACTGGGGCTGCTATCTCTGAACATATCCACCTGGGGTAAAACCGCAGTCCCGGGTCACTTCAACACAGATTAGCTGCCGCACTGAATGCTTACTGTTGCGTATTTGTGCAGTGAAGATACACACGAAGTTTCTTTGGATCTAATCCTGTTATGGCAACATGCAGAACTGTGGGGCCTACCAGTTTCTTGTACAACAGGGATAGCCAATAGTCCTGTAAGGTGTTTAAAGAAAAAGCAGTGTTGAATCATGACCTCTCGTAAAAGAACATGTTAAAGAAAGGTGAGACCTTATTTGATGAGCTAATGTCTTAAAAGAGTAACCTAAGAGCTATTGAAGATACAAAGGAATAAAGGAGGATAGTTCAGAGACCAGATTCATTATCTCACATCCAACTCCACATAAAGAGGATCGCCATGTGTACGAGAGAGTTCCTGCTATTCACAGAAGCTCTCCAGAAGATGTCCACAACATAGTACATTGTCCCGGCTTTTAGCTGATCAGACAATTTCTGGCAAGAAAAGTCTTTAACCCTGGAAAAATCACACCAACCTTGTAAATCAGGGGTCCTCAACCGTGGCAACTTTAAGACCTGTGGACCTCAACTCCCAGAATTCCCCAGCCAGCCATGGTGGCTGGGGAATTCTGGGAGTTGAAGTCCACAGGTCTTAAAGTTGCCAAGGTTGAGGACCCCTGCTGTAAATCCTCAACCATTGAAAAGGAAAATGTTATTCTGTTTTTCTACTAGTTGGGAGAATGTCATAAATACTTACTAGCTAGTGCCTTTCACACCACAAGTCAGTACGTTTTTTTCCCCAGTCCTGTCTTTCCACACAATCATATGAGATTTAGTAGTAACTGTTATAAATATTCACTTTGTTTCAGGATTGTCTATGCAAATCTTCCTCAACTTCAGGCTTTCTAGATTTGCATTCTGGATGGAACTTCATCCATCCAAGCCTGGAATTCTGGAATTCCACATTGGGGAATGCTACAACAGTTCACTATGGTTTCAGGAAAGAATCTCTCCAAACCCTAACTGAAGATGTTTGGATTGAATCTAGACTTGCCTGTAACGCAGGTGATTTACTGTTGAGTTAGTAGATCTCCCTGGTATGTCAACTTTTCTGCAGAAAAAAATTTCCCACTCATCCCAGCCCTCACTTTCTGCCTTCTCCATCTCGTTGCATTTGTTTAGCACTAAGTAGTCTGACTTTTGCAAATATACCAAGGGGGTTTCTACAATATAATAGACTAAAATGTGTAGTACTGCTGTTTTAAGAGCATGGATCAATGTATTGTATAAATTGAGCTATCTAGACCAGGGGTGTCAAACTCAATTTCATTGAGGGCCTCATCAGCATTGTGGTTGCCCTCAGGGGGGCGGGGGTGTGTGGCCAGGGTGGGTGCAGCCTACTGGGTGGGCGTGGATGGAGTGGGTGTGGCCTACTGGGTGGGCATGGCCAGCTCTACATCGTTCGCGTCAAGGGTGCCTGTGGGGGCCTGGGCAGGAGTGGGACAGATCTGAGGGTAACTGGCAGAAGGGGGTGGGACCGGGGCAAGCGCCAAGGCATGGTCCATTTCTTCATTCCTCACAAAGAGTGACACCTCCCCAGCATGCACACAGGGGGCAGGGCCAACACAGCAGGGGCTGGTTCCGCGCTGTTTCCAGACAGCCTTGTGGAGCTAAGACTGAATGCGTTTCAGCATAGATGGCCACCACAAAATTGTACATTGGCTCCTAGCCAGCCTGCGCCAGGGCCAAGGCAGCGGGGGCCGTTCCCTCACTGTTTCCAGGATGGCTTCACGGGCCACATGAAACCAGTTCGCGGGCCACATCCGGCCCCCAGGCTTTGTGTTTGACATGTCTGATCTAGACTGTTTCAGCTATAGCAATAGCACTTAGACTTATATACCACTTCACAGTGGTTTACAGCCCTCTCTAAGTGGTTTACAGAGTCAGCATATTGCCCCCAACAATCTGAGTCCTCATTTTACCAACCTCGAAAGGATGGAAGGCTGAGTCAACCCTGAGTCAGTGAGAATCAAACTGCCAACTGCTGGCAGTCAGCAGAAGTATTCTGCAGTACTACATTCTAACCACTGCGCCACCACTATATCTAAATTGATTCTGTTAATCATGGATCACTACTTCTTTATTAGATGAGGCCTGTTTCTGCAGTCATTCCTTTGAAACAGGAGCATTGTGCTATGAAGAGATTCAAGTGGTATTTGGTTAAGCCAGCAAGTGCAACTTAAATTTGAATCCATCTGAAGGGAGCAGAAATGGCTTCATGGCTGAATGCACACATTGCATATAAAGATCCCAAGGTCAAAGGGCGTGAATTGAAAGACTGAATATCTAAAAAAGAAAGAATACGGGACTATTTTGACAGTCTACTAATGTCCAACTACTCATGCAGTTGTGTACATACTGGCAAAGGTTCAAAGTTGGCATCCACCAGTTGGTAGTTTCCTGCTCCATACAAAACCTGTCTCATCACTAAATCAACGCCCAGTTGGGCTGACAGTCCAAGCTTGTCCAGCCACCTGCCAAGATAATAATAATAAGGAATCAAAGGTAGTATCAATAGGTGCCCCTGATGCAATCCCAAAACAACTGAAGCACTACCTGAACACCATTGGCATTGACAAACCCACCATCAGTCAAGAGCAAAAGGCAGCTTTACTTGGAATAGCTTAAATCTTGCGATAAAACCTCATAAAACCTCAACATCTACTCCAGGTCCTTGGGAAGGACTCGATAGATGGATAAAATATGCCAAGTCCAGTCTAAACATCTGGCTGACGGTGTGATGACCCACAACAACAACAACAGAGTGAACCTTTCATTCAAACAATTTTAACAGATAAAGCGATATGGGACTGTACTAGCTACAGCAGGGAGACGTTTTAGAGAAATAGCTTCCAACTGATCATATTGTAATGGTATCTGAGAGATATAAGTAATGTGTGGGCTGCAAAACTCTGAACAATCAATGGATGGCAGCAAACAGAGGCAGAAAGTTTTATTCCCTGCCCTTTAGTGGTTATGCATTTTTTCCAGCCCAGATCTAGTAGCTGTTGAGAGAAGCAGAACAACATGGCAACTCTGCATTCTTCAAGGAGTTGACTCTTAATTCGACCTTTATTGTGTCTGCGGAGTGATCAGCAACCCCATCCTTCCTAACTGTATGGAGTTTCACAGAACTCTTTAAATATATGGCAATGAGAAGCAATGTCCTGTGTAACCTGAAAGACTGTGTGTGTGTAATTGTACACCAAGACATCAGATTAATATAAATAGGCTGTTTATTTGAGGGGGGGGGACATTTTACAGATGTAGAAAAATGCCCTCTTTATACCTGACCTTGGACTAGAAGACCTCCAAGGTTCCTTCCAGCTCTATTCTATTCTACTCTACTTGATCACATGTCATCATAGTAAGAATACATGTCCTCTATATTTCTGAAGACTACCAGATGATTAGATGTTGATGTTCCTCAGAGATCATAACAACATTTTTCTGTCTGGTCAATGAAGACTTGCTACTATATTGGCCAACAATATATCTGGGTGAGATTCTGTTATACTACAAGAGTTGGTTTTTTTAAGCCAGCAATGTAATACTTACATAAAACCAGCAATATACGCATTAGACAAATTAGGCGTTCCACCTCCAAAAGCGGAACTTGTTTCTCCCAGCCACACACTCTTGTCTGGTACTGCGCTATTCACAATCTAAAGGATATTTTGAAAAAAAAATATGTACGGATGTAGAAAAGAATGAATGAACTAAGTTTTTTGGTTTTTTATTAGACAAAGCAGGTGGAGTACCCAGAATTTATTGATACCCCTACAATCACTTCATATACTGTGAACTGGTTGCATCTATGCACTCATGCATCATGTATGTATTGTGCAGGTCTCTTAAGACGTTGTAGTCTTTCTCAACTTTTTACTTTCTAGAACAGGGGTAGTCAACTTTGGCTCTTTTATGACTCATGGACTTCAACTCCCAGAATTCCTGACCCAGCAAGGCTCAGGACTTCTGGGAATTGAAGTCCACGAGTCATAAAAGAGCCAAGGTTGACTACCCCTGTTCTAGAACTACAGGAGTTACAACTTCAAGAATTCTTAGACAGTTCTGCTGTTGGAAGTTGCAGCCTCAGTACAGGTAGTCCTCGACCTACGGCTACAAATGAGCCCAAAATTTCTGTGGCTAAGCAAGACAATTGTTAAGTGAATTTTGCCCTATTTTGTAACCTTTCTTGTTATTAAGTGAATCATTGCAGTTGTTAAATTAGTAACATGGTTGTTGAGTAAACATGGCTTCCCTATGACTTTTGTGATCACGTGATCTTGGGAAACTGCAACCATCATAAAAACATGCCAGTAGGTAAGCATCTGAATTTTGATCACCTGACCATGGGGATGCTGCAAAGGTCATAAGTATGAAAAATGGTCATAAGTCACTTTTTTCAGTGGCATTGTAACTGAATGGTCACTAAACAAATAGTTTTAAGTGGAGGACTCCTATGTATCCAGAGGGCATCAGGATAAACAGTACTTCCTGGTCTATTCCCCCATAAAATGTTTGTCTGACTGGAATATATTCTACACATCACTTTACAATCTGCTCCCAACACTTGTGTAGATCCTGTTTACCTCAAGCACTTCCTCTGCATTGGTCTTGAAGCTATCCAGTATATCTGGATTCAGGAAATCCTGTCTCGTGGCAATTCGTCCATTAATATAGTAACTGAAACAAATCAAGAACTAGTATCCACATCTTAATTTATACTCAAGTATACTATCTCCAGGAGACATACAGATACATCTAGTGTAGGCTAGAGATTTGAGAAAGCAATGAAATGTAACAATCTCAAAGTAGATTTCCCAAAATCTCCGTTCTTCTAGATTGGGGGTGTCAAACTCGCAAGTCACATGATGTGTTACAACATATCACAACTTTTTTTCCGTTGCTGGCAATGGGGTGGGCGGGGTTTCAGCATGATGCCTCCGGCCCATGGGCCGGCAGTTTGACACCCCTGTTCTAGATGTTCGGGAGTACAATTTTCACAATCCCACCCAGCATAGCACTAGCACTAGCACTTAGACTTATATACTGCTCCAGAGTGCTTTACAGCACTCTAAATCAGTGTTTCTCAACCTTGACAATTTTAAGGCATGTGGACTTCAACTCCCAGAATTCCATAGCCAGCATTGCTGACTGTGGAATTCTGGGAGTTGAAGTCCACATGCCTTAAAATTGTCAAGGTTGAGAAACACTGCTCTAAATGTTTTACAGAGTCAGCATATTGGCCCCAACAAACTGGGTCCTCATTTTACCAACCTCGGAAGGACGGAAAGGCTGAACCAAACTTGAGCCCTGTCAAGATTGAACTACAGGCTGTGGGGAGAGTTTGCCTGCAATACTGCATTCTAACCACTGCGCCACCGTGAAGATATGCTAGTTCATAGTGTACTGCAGTGGTGGAGATGATAGAGCAAGACCAAGGTCAACTCTATTCTCCTCTACAAAAGTTCACTGGGTGATTTGAGCCAGACAACTTTCAATCTACTTCAGATTATAGTGAAGAAAAACTGGAGGAGAGAATATTAAAGCACATCACCTTAAACTCCTGGAGAAGAGGTGGGATATAGATACTGGTGGGATTCAGCCGGTTTGCACTGGTTCAGCAGAACTGGTAGCTAATTTTTTGTTGACTTCGGCAAACCAGCTGAAGTCCTAGCCTTTTTTTGCAAGGCCCAAAATGGACTGCCGGAAATATGTGGATGCCACTTCCGGAAATCCGTTCTGGGCCTTGGCGGCCCGGGTGAGGCCTCCCAGGCCCAGAACGGCTCACTGGAAGTATGTGGACGCCACTTCCAGAAGTCCGTTCTGGGCCTTGGAGGCCTCCCCCAGATTTCTGGAAGCGACATCCACACAGAGAACCGGTTATTCACGTATCTGAATCCTACCACTGGATATAGATCTAACCAACTATTTTATAAATAATAGAGCAGTAATCTGAGTCTGATCAGGTTTGAAGTGTTTTTTGAGAGCAGTGTTTCTCAATTTTAGCAACTTTTAAGATATGTGGACTTCAATTCCCAGAAGTCCCAAGGCAGCATACAAAAATTCTAAAGATAGGACTTGGAAGAGATTAACTCTGCTCAATCTGCTTGCAGATGAATATATGCCTGTTTTGACTCATTTTGGGTATTTTAAAATTAATAATAAATATTTTTTAAAAGAAACAAATGCAGAAACAAGAAATCATGCTACAGCCTTTGTTTGAATAGTAGACAGAAGCAGTGGGTCCCAGGTGTTCTGAAAAGAAGTTCCACAAAGGTTTGGAAATATACGTAGCATTTTTTGAAGCTTATGAATGGAAATGAGGCGGATGCAAGTTGTCATCTACTCCCAATAGCATTATAGCTTCCTCATTCATGAAATACATGATGCATGTTCTAACTTAAGTTTTCTCAACCGTAGTCAGTTTTTCCCTGTGCTGGCTGGGGAATTCTGAGAGTTGAAGTAACATATCTTAAAACTGCCATGGTTGAGAAACACTATAAATCTAAATGACTGTGTCACCAGAAGCCCTGGTGGCACAGTGGTTAAGTGCAGTATTGCAGGCAAACTCTGCCCACAGCTTGGAGTTCAATCCTCACAGGCTCAAAATTTACTCAGCCTTCCATTCTTCCGAGGACCCAGATTGTTGGGGCAATATGCAAATAATGCTTCAACATTGTAAACTGCCCAGAGAATGCTATAAAGTGCTTCGGGGCAATATTATAAGCCAGTGGTTCTCAACCTTTTTAATGCAGTGACCCCCAACCGGTCGTAAGTCGAAGACTACTCAACTGGTGCAGCACCGTTTGCAGAATGGGACTTTTGGCGGGCTCAGCAGGGCAGAGACAGCCTGGACAATTCCTATTGGCTTTTGAAAGCCAATAGAATTAGACTCTATTCAAGAGAGTCTATTCTATTGGCTTTCAAAAGCCAATAGAATAAAAGGGAGTAGCACAGCTAAGGAAAAGGGGAAAAAAATGGCGGATTGCGTTGTTTGGCGACCCCCGTGAAATGGTCATTCGACCCCAAATGGGGTCCTGACCCACAGGTTGAGAACCATTGTTATAAGCCTAAATACTATTGCTAAATGCTAAATCTAATTTGTCTCCCCAATACTATTTACCCTCAAAAAACCCCTCATGCTTGAATTGCTAGATATAAACTTACTTACTGATGCCATGTGACAGAATCAAGCACTTTGCCTCCTGACTTCAGAAAACTGCAAAACAAGAATAGTTTGAGTAGTCATTTTCATTTGCAGTGTCTAATCCTAAGAGATCTGTCAGCAGTCTTAAAATCTCCAGTCAGCACATCTGACCCTTCCACTGCAAAATTCAAGTATTCATTATAGACAGCCCTGCTTAGTTTGTGAGATCTAGAATATCACGAAAAAAGAGACTCAGTGGCAATGCACTTGCCAAGAAAACTGCAAAGATGCAGCCAGTAAGTCAATGTTTCAACTGCATTCTTGTTTTTCTTGTAATGCTTGCTAATTTTATTTCTGATCCACAAATTCTTTTAGTCCTATGAGTCCTAAATTAACTACGTTCTCACTGACTCTTGCCTCATTTGGTTTACCTACATTAACACTAAATATCACATCAAAATAACAACAGTGAATGTGAATGATTGTTAAAAACAACTAAGATATATTGTAAAAGTAAGCAATTACTCCACTCCACTGCAGGTAAGTGATCCTCATTCCTAAGTTATTCCCTGCCCAGAAAAAAGATTTAGTTTGAAACTAAACCAGAATTAAAGCAGCCAAGAATAGCTTAAGCAAACCATGGGTTAAATATTGCATCTGGTTTGGTTGTTTAGCACATCAACAGCACCAAATATTTTCATTTTACCTTTTAAGCAAAATTTTACTGTGCTTCCGACTTGATCTTCCTAAGTCGGGACCGTAAATTTTGGCATTTTTGTAGTGGATATAATTGTTCAAAAGCTGCCGGAGTTGTATGAAATCTTGACCGAGTTGGTGGCCGTTGACTTCTATTCCTGACTTGTGCAAAAAGCTGTTAGGTTCTGCAGAAAATATAAAAAAAGGCATTTTCCCATCTTTAAGTACATATGTCTATCCTAACTCCAGGAAGTTTACAGTAATTCTGTAATTGTTTACACAATGGTAATAATCAACCCCAAATACGGAACCTAAAATGTCAAAACCAGTTAATAGATAAGCTTGAAAACCACAAAGAACATTTAGAATTAAAAATATACAAGATTTTTTTTTCCTCCCCAGAACATTCCAGCCTGCTATGAAAAGCACAATTTCTAGTTTTCTTTAAGTATGGCTTTTAACAAATACAAAAACAAATTCATGTTTTTGTTTTTCATGATGTTAATTTTGATTGCTAATGAACCCAAATGCATATTTAACTCTCTTGTCTGGGTAAGTAGCAACTGTAATGTGCTGTTGCCAGATTTTTTTTTAAAGAAGGATGCACGCATGTTGTTAAAAGGGCTGATGTGCAACATATTTTTATAGCTTGGCAGTATTGAATTTAACATAAAGATGTTCGACGCCCTTCCCCCAAACCAATTACAGGTAGTCCTCGATTTACGACTAAAATGGAGCCCAAAATTTCCATTGCTAAGCAAGGCACTCCATGGCTAAATGAATTGCACTCCATTTCATTTTTTTTTTGCCACAGCTGTTAAGTAAACCACTGTTATTAAATGAATCATTGTGGTTGTTAAGTGAATCCTGCTTTCATTTTGTCAGAAGTCGGATGGGAAGGTTACAAATGGTAATCACATGATCCTGAGACAGTGCAACTGTCTTAAGTACATGCCAGTTGCCAAGCATCTGAATTTTGATCACGTGACCATGGGGATGCCGCAATGGTTGTAAGAGTGAAAACAGATTACAAGTCACTTTTTTCAGTGCCATTGTAACTTTAAATGGCCACTAATTGAATCGTTGTAAGTCGAGGACTATTTAGATACATTTCCTCATGAAATCCTTCACCTATACACGTACCATTTCCAAGTTCCCAAGACAAGATGTAATTCTGGGAATTGGTATAATTCAAAATCTGCTGAGCATTTGAACTATTCCACTGGGAACTGCCTGTCCGTAATAAGGCATTGAGGCCAAAGATCAGGTGCAAATTACTGCAATTTGCAAAATTGTATAAAATATCCAAGGTGCTTTCTGTTAAGAGAATGAAAATAAAGCCATATTATTTCAAGTTATATATATGCGCACAGGAAATCTAATTCAATTCAATCAAAATCCATGAGATAAGCATCATTTTTGTTTCTCTCCCCCCCCCCCTCATTTTTACCGAAGGTTGAAATGGGTGCTGTGTTTTGCCAGTATTGTGAAATATCCACTCTTTGATCAATTACTGCTCTTTAACAAGGATTCTATCACAACAATGAACTTATGATTTTTCTCTCTATGAAGAATCTGTGATTTTTTTTTAAAAAAAACATGCTATTTGGTCTTTTTAATTCTAAAATATTTCCAAAGACCAGTTATGTGAAAGAACATTTTATTGTAAATTTAAATCCTGTTAGGAGACCCAGGGAGACTCCTCCAGGATCAAAACAATACACATATTATTACACTATGACTGGGACATTCACAGTCCTCAGATGTGGTAAAGGTCAACGTTTCCCTTGTCCAGGCATGGACAACTCTAGGGGCAGTGCTGATCTCTGTTCCAAGCCGAGGGAGCCAGCATTGTACAATACATTCCCATGGTCACGTGGCCAGCATGACTATACACCAGGGGTAGGCAACCTCGGTTTTTTTATGACTTGTGGACTTCAACTCCCAGAATTCCTGAGCCAGCAAGGCTCAGCTTGGAAACTCTCCCTTTCCCCACAGCATGGCTGGCTCAGGAATTCTGGGAGTTGAAGTCCACGAGTCATAAAAGAGCCGAGGTTGCCTACCCCTGCACACCAAAGATGCACAGAACGCTGTTACCTTCCCACTGAAGTGGTACCTATTTATCTACTCAAAGTTACATGCTTTCAAACTGCTAGATGGGCAGGAGATAACGGGAGCTCACCCTGTTGTGCAATGCTCGGGTTTCAAATCCGGGCTGCCAGCTTCCCAGCTGATAAGCTTAGCATCTTTAACCACTATCACTCAATTCAGATGGTTTTAAAAGGGGACTAGCCTAATTCACGGAAGACCAGCCAATATGCAGCCTGCAAAACTGATGGCTATTTACTATCTTGTGAATCTCAATATTGTTAAGTACTGAGCAACACTAAAAAAGGGCTATGTTGGCATGTATGGGACACAAAATTTTGGACGACATAGCCTTTGGCCTGATCCTGGCTCTTTCTTTGCTCTTAACAATCTTGCTCTCTCCAGTCTTCCTGGGGAATGTCATTTTGTCAAGCTATTTCTCTTATATAGCGTTAATTCTGGCCACGGAACTCAGTATGATACAGTGAGCATGGAAAATTTCACCACAAGGAAGTGGGTGATGATATAAAGAGGCCTCAAGACTTGGAGTTCTGCAGGATCTTTAGTGTTGTCTTTGGCCCCTTGTATTTGCCAAATCAGAATAACAGAATTCAAGAGGATCCTGGAGGTCTTCTAGACTAACCCTCTGCTCAAGCAGGAGACCCTATACCAGTGATGGCGAACCTTTTAGAGACCAAGTGCCCAAAAACCGCTCCGCCCCCGCTCCACCCACCCGCTCCCGCCCTGCTCCGCCCTCACCCCGCCCACCCTCAGGGCCATTCACGGTACACCGCAGATCACCCAGGCAGCCCTGTAGCACCATAGTGGACATGCCCTCCACCCGCACCCCACAGCGTCATCTGCTGTCCAGCTGCCATGTGCTTGGCTGTGCAGCTCCGCACGAGCCACACCTGGGGGTGACTCTTCTCCAGGGGGAGGCTGCTGGTGAGGAGGGGGCTACGGGGGGAGGCGGGGCTGGGGCGACAACGTGCGTGCCCACAGAGAGGGCTCTGAGTGCTGCCTCTGGCACTAGTGCCATAGGTTCGCCACCACTGCCCTATACCATTTCAGACAATATCTTCTTCAAAACGTCCAGTGCTGGAGCATTCACAGCTTCTGGAGGCAAGTCATTCCACTGATTAATTGTTCTAACTGCCAGGAAATTTCTCCTTAGTCCTAAGTTGCTTCTCTCCTTGATTAGTTTCCATCCGTTGCTTCTTGTTCTGCCTTCAGGTGCCTTGGAGAATAGGGTGACCCCCCCTTTTTTGTGGCACCCCCTATTTTCTAATAATGAGCAGAGGTCTTAAATACCCACTAATAGGTTTTCTTAATAATATTCCTGGTCGCATGGGCCTTACCTGTAAATGTAATGTTTTTATACTTGTTCTTTACTTGTTCCCGGAAGATGAGCTTCTGCTCAAAAAGCCACTGAGACTGCAATTGTGCTATGAAGTCCAAAGGGGCAGATCTGAATGCACAGAAGTCCACCGTTGCTACAGCATGAGACAGAGAAGGAAGATCTCATCATTAGTGTTGAATTGGGGATGCTGCTGTTTTAAGAGACATGGGGAGAAGTTCATCAGTTGGGCAAGTGAAATGGGCACCTGTAGTTTCCCAGAAATAGTTGAGCCAGGAATTCTGGTTGTAAGTCATGCCAGTCGTTAAGCAGGTCACCATGTGACAGCGCCCAATTTTATGACCTTTTTTGTGACAGCTGCTAAACAAAAGCTACAGTCGTTAAGTGAATCCATTGTTCGCTATGGGGCATTTTTGTTGGAAACTAGAATTAAACACTGGTTTCCAGCAAAAACAGTGGTACAATTGTGATCACGTGACAACGAGACACTACAAATGGCTGTAAATGGGGGCTGGTTGCTGGGTACCCCAAATGTGATCAGATGACCAGGAGGCAAGCCATTCGAACTGGACCGTAAGTAGCTCTGGGGAGGTCCGTCATAACTTTGAATTGTCACTAAGTGATCAGTCCTAAGTCAAAGGCTAATTGTATGTTAAGAGTGCCGGTCTTTTCACATGTTTAATCAATGACTTTTATTGTTGCTTTCCGATGCATCACATTTAGGAATGGAATATAGAATATAGAATATAGAATATAGAATAGAATAGAATAGAATAGAATAGAATAGAATAGAATAGAATAGAATAGAATAGAATAGAATAGAATAGAATAGAATAGAATTCTTTATTGGCCAAGTGTGATTGGACACACAAGGAATTTGTCTCTGATGCATAAGTTAGTACATATATATCATTTGTGTCTGTATCCTTGTGCCCCTCAATAATTACTTTTCACTTTGCCTGAAGTACTTGGTGCTTTGTACTGAGGGTGTCTACAAAAAAAGCCACTTTGCAAAAGTTAAATGTTTTCTCTCCCAATTTAGGAACTATGTTCCTCCTATTCATCCAGGCAACACAAACACAACTATTTTTAAGCGAACATACTGTAAAAACTGCTGAGCAGGCTCTACCCAATGGTTACAGCTGACGGCAGAAGACCAAAAAGGACTGCTAACAGACGGCATCCGTGGTATAGAAATTCAAGAGAGAGAGATCCTGAGACAAAGCTAACTAGCTATCAGCTACGCAGCTCTATTGCCCTATCTTGAGGAGCAGGAGACACCATGGAGGCAGTGACAAATGAGACTTTGTGTCTTGTTGTTGTGTTATCCTTGGAGGCACTTTTAAAAAAGAACTTCCTTCCTCCCAGTAAACTTAATAAATAATTGAACAAATTTTTAACAAGAACAATCATGGAAAACGGCCATGTTTCTGGAGCTCTGCAGGCCATAGAGAGCACAGCCTGAATCCAAAGATGCTTTTCAAAAGGTAACTAGACATTTTTTGTGGGTTTTTTTCCCCCTTGAAGACATTTCCCTTCTCATCCAAGAAGCTTCTTCGGTTTTGGCTCAATGGTGGGAATGGAAGGATTTCTACAGGTAGTCCTTGACTTACACCAGTCCATTTGGTGATTCTTCAAAGTTACAACAGCATTGAAAAAAGTGGCTGATGTCCGTTTTTCAGGCTTACAACCATTGCAGCATCCCCAGGGTCATGTGATCAAAATTTAGACGCTTGGCAACTGACTCACATGTATGACAGCTGCTATACCCCAAGGTCACGTGATCCCCTTCTGCGACCTTCTGACAAGCAAAGCCAATGGGGAAGCCAGATTCACACTTAACAACCATGTTACTAACTTAACAACTTCGGTGATTCCCTTAAGAACTGTGGCAAGAAGAGTTGTAAAATATTTAACAAACGTTTTGCTTAGGAACAGACATTTTGGGCTCAATTGAGGTTGTAAATTGAGGCCTACCTGAATTCTTTGAAGTTATCTGGACTTTAGCACTCTGAAGGCTGGTGGTTAGCTCTCTGAAAGTCCTCAAGGCCACCTGAATTACCCACCATTCAACCAGAACTGAAGAAGCTTCTTGGATGAGAAGTGAAATGTCTTCAAGGAAAAAACTAAGAAAGTCCAGTTGTGTCTTTTGAAAAGCACCTTCGGAACCACCATGAGCTGGATGACTGAGAATCTCCATAGACATAGCAAAGGCTAAAGTTTCATACAGCCCATGGGTGACGCTGGGTTGTCAGGATATGATTTAAATGCCCACTGTAAAAATTCTTTTTGGTCTTCATGGACGGTGTAGGTGTGGAGAATAGGAAGAAATATGTTGCCGTTCATAAGCTGGATAAGCATCCTACCTTGTTTTCTAAGGAAATCCTGAAAAATCTTCTCTTCAGGTGTTGGCTTTTGTTGAGGATCGAAGATCAGGAAGTCTCCTTTGGTGCCCCCAAATCTCAAAAAGGCAGGAGACAAGCCTCTTGTCAATGTACGGAGTTTTGTAGAACTGGGAAATTAATGCCAAAGATGTTAGGCCATGTTTTTTCATCCAAACATCACATCTTGCACACCCCTTTGATAGGTTTTGGCTTAGCATGTTCTGCAAAAAACAGTGTTTTGACGTATAAACTACGATTTTATGCATTGGTATATCGGGTAACCCATATCAGGTATGATCTATTCAATAAACAAAAAGCAATTCGCAGTTTATCATACTGTGCAAACCCAAACAGTGGCTTTAATTCATTGAAATTAATTTAATTCAAGGGTAGGCAACATATGTATAGCCCCCCAAGGAACTGGAAAAGAAACCACACTCCTAAGTGGTGTCTAATGAGAAGGAAGGACTCACTGGAGAAGGGCCTAATCTGGGAAAGATTGAGGGCAAGAGAAGAATGGGACGACAGAGAATGAGGTGGCTGGATGGAATCACTGAAGCAGTAGGCATGAGCTTAAAGGGACTCCAGAAGATGGTAGAGGACAGGAAGACCTGGAGGAACATTGTCCATGGGATCGCGATGGGTCAGACACTTCACAACTAACAACAACAACAACAAGTTGTGTCTGCAAACCTTTGAATAGTGGCAATATAATTTCCTATGGCAATGAACAAATTTAGTACAGTACATCTCACTGGCCTAAACAATTATAAAACATTAACATAACTTTTACCCCCAAATGAGGAAATGGGTTAAAAAACTCTATTACAGTTTCTTCTAAAAATGTCACAGTGTCACTTGTGGTTAAGTTCCAAGGACCCTGAGCCTTAAATATTTTTTAAACTCTTACCAGAAGTAATTGACTTCATTGTCAATTCAATATATTCCCAACTTGATTTTAATCCCCAACTTGCAAAAAGTTGGACTAACTAATGCAGCTTCCAGCTACTTGTGTAAGCTTTGTCAAACCCTTAAATCAAGATTTTTTAAAACTCAAGGACACCGGCAATTTGCAAATCACATGATGACAAGTGATTTACCTGTCACGTCTCCTGCTCTACGAAGCAGACCAGATTCTTAAGAGCTGACACGGTTGAGTCATTCTGGAGCCGCAAAGTATACAGTATGCTACTTTTAAGAAGGAGCTTCAGGTCACCCTAATGATAGAGTGCCAGGAAAAACTTGCTTTTAATTGAAGGATAGCTAGAGTAGAGACTTCCTCTATTTACAGGTTCATCTGAATTAGGATTTAAGGATTCAGTCTACCCTGTATACAGGTGGCACTTGACTTATGACCAAAACTGATTCCAAAATTTCTGTTGCTAAGCAAGACAGTTGTTGTGTGAGTTTTGCTCCATTTTACGACCTTTCTCGCCACAGTTGCTAAGTGAATCACTGCACTTGTTAAGTTAATAACATGGCTGTTAAGTGAATCTGGCTTCCCCATTGACTTTGCTTGTCAGAAGGTGGCATAAGGTGATCACATGACCCCGGGATACTGCAACCATCATGAATACATGCCGGTTGCCAAGCATCCTAATTTTGATCACATGACCATGGGGATGCTGCAACGGTCACGTGAAAAACGGTCATGCTTCTTTTCAGTGTCATTGTAATTTCGAACGGTCACTAAACAAACGGTTGTAAGTAGGGGGCTACCAATATTTTGATTCACACTGATTGCTCTTTATGAATAATGCCGGATATTTTATAGAAGGTGGTTCTCAGTTTGAAGGGTTACAAAAAATAGACAGCTACTCTTGTTTTAAAACCTCTTCTGTTTGAAGGAGGTGTCTACTTCATCGCTGGTTTCAAGACAAGGAATGCACAGTAAGAAATCCAGGAACTGCAGTGTGCCCATCCATAATTAGAAACGGCAACAAACTAAGCAGAACCACCATTTATGAAGGCACAGTTTCTCTCCTGATGCTGAGAAGAATCGCATTTCTATTTAAATTATAGAATTGCATATGCATGTGCATACTTTTCTCAAACTAAGCACGTGCAAATTTTATGCACATCTTTGGTTTTTGAAGCTGTCCGTTTTAAATGATGCGCTTCCTGGGAAGTGCCGCCCTGCAGGGATGAACCAAGATCAAAGAATGCCACTGAGCTTGTGCAGAGTGTTAGCCTTCTCCTGGCAGGATATGACTGGCACTGTAGGCTGCAGATCTTTAATGCAGACCTTTGAGAGGTAGATTTAATGTAAGGTAAAAGCAAGGAAGCTATTAGGAAAGAATGCCAGGGATTGCTAACTATCAGATGCAAAGCCTATTTATATTTAAAATCAAGGATCACATTCTTGGGCCTTTCTTCTCCCACTTTTGGGGTCTATTGGGATAGAAACCTGTCTTTTTGAAAGGATGGTTAGTTTCACCTTCCTACTTACAGGACGAGTAGTCCTCGTCCTACAACAATTAATCTAGTAATGGCTCCAAGTTACAACAGCACTGAAAAAAGTGATGTGTATGACCTTTTTTCACACAAAGATGATTAGAGGTCTATATGAGCCGAGGTGGCGCAGCAGTTAGAGTGCAGTACTGCAGGCCACTTTAGCTGACTGTGTTCAGCAGGTCAGCGGTTCAAATCTCACCGGCTCAAGGTTGACTCAGCCTTCCATCCTTCCGGGGTAGGTAAAATGAGGACCCAGATTGTTGGGGGCAATGTAAATATATATATACATTGCTTACTGGTGTACACCGCTTAGGGAGTGCTTGCACTTAAAGCGGTATATAAGTCTCATAAATAAATAAATAAATATAAGGAACGGTTGCTGGAATTGGGTAGGTCTTGTTTAATTAAAAAGAAGGATGAGGGGGGACATGATAGCAGTGTTCCAATATCTCAGGGGCTGCCCCAAAGAAGAAGGAGTCAAGCTATTCTCCAAAGCACCTGAAGGCAGGACAAGAAGCAACGGATGGAACCTAACCAAAGAGAGAAGCAACCTAGAACTAAGGAGAAACTTCCTGACAGTTAGAACAATTAACCAGTGGAACAACCTGCCTCCAGAAGCGGTGAATGCTCCAACACTGGAAGTTTTTAAGAAGAGACTGGACAGCCATTTGTCCGAAATGGTATAGGGTTTCCTGCCTGAGCAGGGGGTTGGATTAGATCAGGGCTTTTCAATCTTTTCACCCATTGTATCATTTTTAGGATATGGCAACATCCGAGTACCACCAATCGCCTAGCAAGGTGTCAAAAACTTGACCAAAAAAAGAAGAAAAAAGTGATAAAGTACAGGTAGTCCTCAACTTACAACAGTTCGCTTAGTGACTGTTCGAAATTACAATGGCACTGAAAAAAGTGCCCCCCAAGCCACAGCCGAGCAAGACACCTGCCTGCCTACCTGGCGGCGCTCTTCCTCCTCTCTGAGGTTTTCATTATTGTGAACATTTCTGTTGAGGATTGGCAGTGGAGATGGGGGGAGGTGTGTTTGGTTTTTATTCCACCCATCTGCTGGGTGGTTGAGCAGGTTTTGGTCACTTCACATGACCATGGGACACTGTGACCATCATAAATATGAATCAGTTGCCAAGCATCTGAATGTAAATCACAAGACCCTGGAGAGGCTGCAACATTCCAGCTGATTGGTGCTTCTTCTGGGCTCAGCAGAAGCACCAGGATCAGTGCTGCTTTCCAGCTGATTTGTGCTTCTTCTGGGCTCAGCAGAAGCAACAGGATCAGCGCCGAGCTCCAGCTGGCGCTGCTCCTGGCGCTTCCACTGAGCCCTGACAGCCCCGAAGAAGCGCCGATCAGCTGGAAAGCGGCACTGATCCTGGCGCTTCCGCTGAGCCCTGACAACCCTGTAGCTCCAGCCATCTCTCGCTCAGGCTTGTGCGGTGCTGCCACCGGTTCAGCTCATTCCCCTCCCCTGCTACCACTTTTCTAGGATGGTTGCGTACCACCTGCCAGGTGCCAATGTACCACAGGTGGTACCCGTACCACTGATTGAAAAGCCCTGGATTAGATGACCTCCAAGGTCTCTTCCAACTTTATTATTATTATTACTTATGACCATTGCATAGTCCCATGGTCACATAATCGGATGCTTAGTAAGTGACTCATATTTATGTCCAGTGTCATGTGGACACTTTTTGTGACCTTCTGAAAACAAAGTAATGGTGAAGCCAGATTCACTTAACAATATGTTACTAACCTAACAACCGCAGTGATTCACTTAACCACTGTGGCAAGAAAGGTCGTAAAATGGGGCAAAATTCACTTAACAACTGTCTCACGTGGCAAAAGAAATTCTGGGCTGAGTTGTGATCATACGTCAAGGGCTACCTATAACAGACTAATCTGGTACCACCCTACTTGCTTCTGAGTTTGTCAGAAGCAACTGCCACACAGTGATAGGCAGTTCTCGATTTACAACCTGTCCTCAAAATTACGTCTGTGGCAGCCAGTCAATTGATCGTGATTTGTTGCTTGGCAACCAGCTCGCATTTATGACCGATTGCAGTGTCTTGAGATCATGTGCCTGCAATCTGCAAGCTTCCCAGTCAGTTTTCAACAAGCAACATCAATTGGGGAACTGGATTTATTTAAAGACTGTATGTTTCACTTAATGGCTGCAGTAAAGATAGTCATGAAATTGGGTCCAGCCACATGACGACTACTTAACAACTGCATCACTTAGTGATGAAAATACCAGTCTTGATTATAGACATAAGTCAAGAACTACCTGTAACTGAAAACTGATTCAGGATTAAAAATCTGGGTGCCCAACGCAAAAGAAAGTGTTCTAGAGCTTAGATTAACACCATATTGTGATTTAAACTAATGTTCCTGGTTTCTATCACTTCAGTGCTGGAGAAAGACTGAATTTGCTTGATGTTGATCAAATGTGCAGAGGCTATAAACCAAAATTTCTTCGGTTTGTGACATAGCCTGATTTTCAGAGCACGCGATGGTCTATTCAGAAATCAGATCAAAAATAAACTGCATTATATCTCAGTTGAAAAGAAAGGGTTTCATCAGTTAAAAACCATGTTGTTTGACGACAACTTCCTTATTAGAGCTAATAAAACCTCAGATATTTGATAAGGCACTTGAAAACAATACG